TAGGCAATGTTCCTAGATTGTTTTTACAAGGTTTGTGATTTTTAGTGCCTGAAACAGAAATTTCTAATTGTGTGCTGTAAGGAAAACTGAAAATAATTAGTTGAACTGTTTAAATAAATTGTTTAGATAAATTGTTTAAATTCATTGTTTTGTTCAATATCTCTTGTCAAAAGAAAATGGTTGTACAATGAAACAAAACAAAAAAGTTTATTTTTAAAACAAAAAAACATTTGAAAAAATAATAATTATAAAAAAACTTTAATGTTTTAAAACAGCCCCCAAAAATAATATGAACATAGCAAATATCTAGTATCTACACAAGCTCCCCCCCNCCCCCAACCTTCATATAATATGTATTTCTAAAAATTCATCATTTTGAATTTTAATAATTTTAATAATTCTGCAAAAATTCTGGGGAAAAAATTTAGAATTTTTTAGCTTTAACTTTTTTCATAGAACATAACATTTCTTTAGATAAATCTTTTACTTTCTTCTTACAAAGTAACGAAATAGTTTTTATTTTGCTGCAAATATGGCTGGGCACGTTTCAACTTTTTCTAGCCGTTCCGTTAACGGTTAGTTCCAACCCTTAAAAAAGAAAAATTTCAAGTAGCTGTTAATTTTAAAGTTAAGAACGGCACGTCCGTTCGTTACCGATTTTTTTAAAAATTACAGTTAGTTAAAGTTTTAAATTTTATTAACGGCGTTAACGGTAAATTTTCAACAACCGTTAACGGCATCAGTAGCAAAATTTCCTTAATGGTTAAATAAAAAGTTAACGCGGCAGCCATTAACGGTTAAGAAGTTGTTTTATTCTTAGCATTTAAGCCGTTAAAAACAGAAGACGACATGTAAAACTTTCGGAGCACATAAAAAACACTTTTTTACAAGTTAAATGCAATTTTAGGCTGAAAAAAAAATTGCGAAATTTATTGTTTTAAAAAAAAAGTTTTCTTTTACAGCCGTTAATTTTTTTTTAAACGGCTGATCCGTTTTGTTAACATTTTAAAAATTAACGATTTTTGCCTTTCATTAACGGACACTTGCGTTAATTTTCATAAACCTTTGTTCCGTTAATGGAACTTTGTCCAGCCCTCACTACCAACCGTAGTTCAGTAATAAACAGAATAGGACACAATCTTTTGTATTTCATTCTTTAAAATTTGAATTTCCTTCTGAGTGAATTATAGAAATAAACTTTTTTTTAAAAATACCAATTGACATTATCAGCAGTAGTCTAATAGACTCTCTTGAACTCCTTGTACAAAACTGATGTTTTATAAAGGATGTGTACTGCAAAAATAGAACATGAAAAATTCAAGTTTAAAAGCCAAAATGGAATACCATTTTAAAGACTAAATTCAATTTTATAAAATTAAACAAGTGTCTATTCAGAACTTGAGAAAAATAGATTAAAAGTGTTTGTAGAGGAAAATAGGTTGGTAAAAATGTCAACAACTTTTTCATATAAAGTCCCCTCTGCTTAAACTTTGTGAAAACATATCTAACTTTTATAATATTCCTTTCTAAATTCTCTAGAAATAACTCAGCAAACTCTTATTTCCATCTTTAAAGGAATTTATGCGATTTTAAAGGTTGGCTCGGTTATTTTCCAGAGAACTCGTATATATCCCAAATAAATATCAAATAAAAAAACAAAAAAGTAAAATTCTATTTACTAGAATTAATTATTGTATAAAAGTATATTTTTAAAAGAACTTATTCAGATTTAGTCATACTTTAAATGGGGTAGGTCTTTAAAGGGTCTTTAAAGGGTCATTAAAGGGTTACACAAGCTGATAAACAAAACGTGTCATATTTTCTATATAAATGACAATACTATACAGTTTTATCAGTATATACATAAATATACAATAAGCGTCATGTCTAAACATATAATGCATTGAACACAGAAGAATACGAGAAAAAAATAGAAATAAATATAATGATATTAATAACAACAATAATACATACAAGACATTTAAAGATTAGACTCTGCAGGTAGGGTTGTTAGTTGTTTTGAAAAACGATCGAAAAACGATTGTTTTCTTTTGAGTTTTTTTTTTCATTTTTCGTTGTTTTATAGTCGTTTTTTAAAACGAAAGAATCGTTTTTAACGATCCATCCCTAAACTGCATGGATATTAATTTAGCATTTTACAATACATTTCACTGTTGAATCCTTTATGAAAACTTATAGGTATTGTATTTTCAAATGAGATATATAGAGGGAGGGGGTNCAAGGGGGGGGGGAAGTTAAGGAGAGGAGGGGTAATGTGCAGAGGAGTAGTCTGTTGAAAGCAAGTGTATAATGAGTAAAAATATACAAAACACTTTGTGTGAGGTAAAATTAGGTTATTATCATGTATTTACGTTCGAGCTGACAAACTTGACACTTCTATTTCAGATTTTCATCTCCTTAGATCCATAAATTCTTAAAATCCTTACTACAAGAAATTCAAAATATATTGTATTAATATGAATAAGCTTTTGGGTTTACACTAAAAGCTGGATTTTTCTTAAGCTTTGATGTTTTTGTGTTTATTTTAATACCATGAACTAAAAACATCGCGGATTCTTGTGCAAAATGCAAATAATTTGCATACCAGTTCATAAATGTTCAAATAAACAATGCAAAACTTCAAAACTGTAAATTCTCAAAATTGCCATTCGGTCCCATAAATACTTCATCGAAACTAAACAGCCTAAACAACTTAACAAGAATAGTTGAGTAAATCGAAAACAGAGAATGCATATAGCCTATAGTTTTCCTAGTTCTTTCGGTTCTCCTGTTTTTCCTTGTTCTCCTAATTCTCCTAGTTATCATTGTTCTTTTAGTTCTCCTAGTTCTCCTAATTTTCCTAGTTCTCCTAGTTTTACTAGTTCTCCTAGATTTCCTAGTTCTCCTAGTTCTCCTAGGTTTCCCAGTACTCCCAGCTAGTTCTCCTAGTTCTTATAGGTTTCCCAGTTCTCCTAGTTCTTCTAGTTCTCCTAGTTCTCCTAGTTCGCCTAGTTCTCCTAGTTCTCCTAGTTCTCCTAGTTCTCCTAGTTCTCCTAGTTCTCCTAGTTCTCCTAGTTCTCTTAGTTCTCCTAGTTCTCCTAGTTCTCCTAGTTCTCCTAGTTCTCCTAGTTCTCCTAGTCCTTTATTTCTCTTAATTCTCAAAGTTCTCGTAGTTCTCCTGTTCTCCTAGTTCTTCTAATTATCCTGCTCTCCTTGTTCTACCAGTTACTCGTCTTATCTTTGTTGCATTAGTCCTCTTATTTCTCATATAGTTCTCCTAGTTCTCCCTGGTCTTTCTAGTTCTCCTGGTCCTTTTAATTCTCCTAGTTTTTCTGGTTCTCCTGGTTCACCTATAAGGCTAGTCTTACTAGTCGTTCTAGTTCCTTGGTTCTTCTGATTTTTTAAGCGCTTCTATTTCTCTTATTTCTGTCATTTCTAACTATTAGGTTAGTCTTCCTAGTTCGTCTAGTTCCTCTGGTTCCTGGTTTTCTTAGTTCTCCTAGTTCTCCTGTTTCTCAAATTCACGAAATCCTCCCAGTTTTCCTGGTTCTCATGTTTTTCCCCCTTCTTCTGTTCTTTTGGTTATCCTAGATTTCGCATTGTCTCCATTTCTCCTAGAGTTCCCTTTTTTCTTATTCTCGTAGTTCTGAGTTTCTTGTCTTACAGATCAATATTTCTTAGATCAATGGAGTAAATTTCTGTTCCATCCAACTAATTTTCCACCTGTAAGATTTCTCCCTAAACCTTGATCGGAGTTCTCTGCTCCGGAATCCCGTCCTTACTTCTAAAATCTCCGTTATTGGGTCTAGTCTCCGTCAGTATCTCGGAGTACACAGAGATCAATTATACTCCTAACCCGGAGTTAAGTGACATATTAGTTAATATAACAAGAAACTGAATACCAGACATATGCTTTAGGGATTTCACATCAAACAAGAATAAGCCCAAAATCATTGAAACCACTTGAATTCTAATTTATTTAAACACGTTTTTTTACCTATTGAATAAGTGTTTATTATGCAACAACATTTTTGGAATATTTTTCTCACGGGAAGTGTTTAGAATATATTTCGGAAAAAAACTTCTCATCCTGATAAAACTATGCTGAAATATTTGTCTAAATATTTCAAAAAATCCTCGAAATTCTTTTAAAGGAATTGAGTCTTTGCAACAAATCCCAATTTTCTAATACCAATATATCTACAACCAAATTATATAGACCTTTGATATTTCAAACTTTGATTGTTTGATATAACAGAAGTCATAGTTTGAAATATCTAAGGTCTACAACATCGGGCTGTTAAGATATAGGGATTTCAAAATCAGAGTTTGTGACAAAGACTCAATTCCTTTAGACGTATATATTTATATAATTTTTATACAGAGGTCTGTTAATTATTTAGGGCTAGTGCTAATTCAATGCAGTAAATATTTTATCACTGTTTCCAAATAAAATAAAAAAATCTTTGACAATTATGAATCTACATAAATCTTAGATCCTTAGTTATGAAAGGTCCAAAGGAATTGAGTCTTTTATTTGATCTATAACATAATTCATATGTTTCAAATATCTAAGGTTTACTCGATATTGGGTAGTAAATAAATAGGGATTAGAAAATCAGAGTTTGTGAAACTCCATTCCTTTAGCCTTAGTTAAAGAATTGACTGTTTTTTTTTGTGCCTGTTGTTGCGTAAAGACAGCTGTTATTTAAGATGGATATTAAACATTACACTATTACTTCAGTTTGTCCAACCCTTTTCCTGATACCTACAATTTTTCGATCAATAACTTGCTTCATCCAATGATCTCCTACTCGACTTTGTATCTTGAGCAGAGATGATTTCCATTTAATAAGTTTCGTCTACACGAGACAGTACTTTTGTTTCTTTTTAAAAATCCACAAGTTATGATGATACAAGACTAGAAATGCCATACGCAGCACTTGAATGATTGAATCCCAATGTTAACAACTATAAACTTGGTTTTTAAAACAAGGAACTTTTACTGACGCAGTGACTTATTTAAATTACACTCTAAATTCATGTTCATTTATAGATGCCATTTTTGTACCGGCACGACAAGTAATGACAAATAAAATTGTAAGTGTACCGGATCTAACCTTTCGGATTAACTGTACTGCAGTGGCGTAGTCAGAGGGCAGAGGGCTATTGGTTGAGAAGTTAGAATTACGACTTTCTAGAGAGAATCAGCCCTACATCCCCCCTTCTAGAATGTCAGAAAAATTGGCCCTCCCTTCTGTATAGAGATGGGCACGTTCGACTTCTTTCATTTTGATCGTTCATCGTTCATAAACATTCCATTTTGTCGTTTTTTTTCAATGATTTAAAAATAATTGATTACGTTCGTTTTTAAAATTATCGTTCTTTTCCTTCGATAAAAATCGCTCTCATACAACGATAACCATCTCTACTTCGGTATGCAGTACACCCCTTACCGACCCTAATAAACAGTACACCTCTTACCGACCGACCCTGATATACAGTACACCCCTTGCCGACCCTGATACACGGTACACCCCTTACCGACCCTGCTATACAGTACACCCCTTACCGACCCTAATATACAGTACAACCCTTACCGACCCTAATATAAAGTATACACCCCTTACCGACCCTAGTATACAGTACACACCTTACCGACCCTTATATAAGGTACACCCCTTTCCGACCCTTATATAAGGAACACCCCTTTCCGACCCTTATATACAGTTCAACCCTTACCGACCCTAATAGTTGCATTGAGTAAAGCCACAACAGCTCGGGAACCAGATTTAAAGAAAACAAATCATAGTTGAGCCGTGCAAACATGGTTCAACCACTTCTCTTCAGCTTGAACCTAGGAACTAGAGAAGTGATTTAACTATTATCTCTGCTACGTCAAGTTAAAGTAAGCTGCCCATTAGATGGAATTCTGATATGTTTTCAATCATAACTCTTCTTATTAAAGGGAGTGACCGGCTACGTAAGGTAGTATAACTGAGTATGCAGTGTTGTGGAAAGCTTCTTTCCGATTCATTTGAGACATATTAAACTTTTTAAAGATCTGTAAATCCTGAGTTTGAGCGCAAATTAGACGTTCAAAACTCCTACTTTGGGGGTGGATACGTGTTTTCAGAATCGGGTTTTTTTAAATAACTAAATAACGACGATGAAAAATAAAGTAAAAATCATACAGTAATCTAATTAGATGGTTGGGAACATATTTCTCATAAAAAATTTGCCAATAAATCAATGCTAGAATCAATTATTTTGTTTTCATCATTATATCGAATTTCTTATTTTCTTTGAATTTATTCGCAGATTTCTTAAAATTCTTCAAATGTCGTCTTTTCAATAATAATTCAAGAAAATCTGCAGAAAATGTTCGTGAATTATAAGAACTTGAATAATGAGAAAATAGAAACTAATAATTTAACAAGATTACTTTTTTTCTATGATAAGATTAATTTTTATTTTCTCAACCAGTTCCGAAACAACTCATTAGTTTACTGTAGAGTTTTGTATACATTTTTTGTCGTCGTTATTTAATAATTAAAAAGAAACTAATTCTGAAAACGTTTCCAACCCCAAAGTAAGAGTTTTTGAACATCGAATTTGCGCTTAAACTCAGGATTTACAGATCTTTAAAAAGTTTAATATGTCTCAAATGAATTCGAAAGAAGTTTTCCACAACAATGCATACTCAGTTCAACTACCTTACATAGCCGGTTACTCCCTTTAATAAAAGCTACTGAGGAAACCAAAGATGTTTTTAATTTCTAATATGTTATAATTATTAATAAACTTGCATTTCTCATACTTGTGCTAAAAAAATCAAAGCTAGAGGATCTGCTTGGTCACATAGCCGTCAGTCATGTAACACGAAGTTTGCCTTCTCCCTCTGTCTATCTCACAGTGCTGCGCGGGTCAGCTGCTATTAGTTAACCTGATATTTGGGAATTAACTAAACCAAAAATTGTCTGAAAATGGAATAAAATAATATTATTGTGGATTATTGCATGGCAGGGTCAAGCAGAGTTTAGAAGAATATAAACACTTAACATAAACTTAGAGAAACTAGAAACTTTGCAATAATCAGGTTAAGGTTAATAGATAGATCATAGATAGATAGATAGATAAGATAAGATAGATAAGATAAAGTTTATTGCTAAAATAAATGTATCTGTATACAGATAGAGTTTACAATCACAAAATTGATGATTATATTAACAGTACAAGTATAAAATAGCTCTTGGCTGTTTTGATTATTTTTTCCACCTAATTTTAGTAATAATAACAAAATATTTCAATTAAATAGATTTAAGGAGAACGATTAGAGATCAGGGTGCAAATTTATCATATGCAAAATAGTTTATACACTAATACGAATAACTAGAGTTTAAAGTAATTTTCTGACATGTACACAACAAATATCAAAGCATATTAAACATATCTAATTAGTTTTACATGAATAGCAATTCGGTTTATAACACATTGTCCTATAATTTTCAAAAAGAGAATTTAGTAGTCTATTTTTAAATATACTTAGAGAGTTGCTTCTTTTTAAGTCAAGAGGCAGGTTATTCCACATCTTAAGAAGAGAGCTTGATGGTAAATACTGTAATGAGAAAATTTTAAGAATGTCAAGTTGATAGTTAAGAGATCTTTCAAAGGTTCCAAGCTTTTTAAAAATATTTTCAGATAAATAGATTTAAGACAGATAGATTTATAATAAATGTATAGAAATGTAGATTGAAAATTATAAGCAGATTAAAAAGGGGACGTATTTAGGAGTTTTTCTGGGCAGGATTTTTACAGCCTTCGGTTGGGGCTGAAACACCTGTATTCTCAGGGGGGGCACATCCCCCTGCCCCCCACCCCTGGACATACTCGGCATACAGATATGGATAAATGTGCATGTGTTTCGCGACGAATCCTTCTCATAACTAAATTCGTCGACTAATAATGAAAACCCTTTACTTAGATTCCATCCTAGGTAGGCCGGATAATTGTATCCCGTAAGTTCTCTGTCTCGTAATAAAAGTTTAAAGCACTCTTCTGTGACTTATTTATTGCAGGATCAAATCTAGTAAAAAATGAACTGTTTTAGATATAAAACACTACATAATTTATCAGAACTAAAAATATAAACGAAACTATGTATTGCGAATTCGCGGACTCTAACATTTGAGATTGAGAAAGTTACGGGGCATATTCCTTTTACTGCACAGAGGGAAATTTAAACCAGGGCCGCAGAAACAAATGTCGTACTTACATATGCTGGCGTCCTGATAATGGAATAAAAGGGTATCTATCTACTCAAGCATTAAAAGATCTGAAATGATAAATCTAACAACAACACTCAAAGACAAGGTGTTAAGCATAGGTGTTAACTGATCAAGCCCTGTATCTAGAGTGAGTCTGATTTATCATTTCCAGGTAGATCTCAGTTTAGAGTAGCCAATAGTAGGACTGCTTACTTTACCGGACATATCCGTCCAATCAGGAAACTCCAACTCAACTTGGTACAGTGAGTCTCACTAAATAATAATGATTTTGTCTATTTTCGAAAACCCTGAATATACGCGTAACAGCATGTAGGCATTGCAAAGGCTTAGAAAAAGATTGAAAATCAAAGATGTAAAATTATGGGAAAACATATAATGGAAAAAAACTGACAGGCAGACATATTAGGTCAGACAGAAAAAAAACAAGCTAGACAAGTGAATAGAATGTCAATCAAGGACAGACAGACAAACTTATATAAATAGAAAATTAAGCAAAGATAGATTGATAGATATTCTCTTTCACCAATTCTATGAATTAATTTATGTGTATTCAAATCAAGCTCAATATATCTATTTCTTCTTTACACTACAAATATATATGATATCTAGATAAGAAACCCAGATCTGCCT